AATTCTTAATGATGCAAAATGGAAATCAAAATGACTTAGTTTACCTGATGTTGGGGAAGAGATCAGACACAATGCCGTTGAATAATTTCAGATCATCGGTCAAAAACTTTGGTACATTGACATCCCGAATTGCTCGCAGACATATTAACTCCTGAAATACAGAAAAAAATATATGACGATGCTGTTTTGGACATAGCATAAGCTCTATGCGATAAACTCAAATTCCTATAGACCAGAATGAATGAGATCTTGATCTTACAAAGTGTCGCACAATAATACGTTAATTGAACCATTAAGGGCTATAAAACTATCATGATGCAATGCACTGACAAGCCCTAAATGTCCTCATCATATTAAATTGTATAACCAGAAAAAGATAATAACGAACATCACAACAAATGATAATGTATCACATGACCTTTAACCAAATAATCGGAAAACCAAAACTATACTTCGTACATTCTTATTTCTTGCTATTTTATATTTCTATTAAAGCTACTAGTCTAGGAATGGCTGAGTAAATATTACTGTACAAATGAAAAACTCATGCACACTAGCAGTAACAGTCTTGAAGGCAACAATCATCGGGTAAATGTTACCATAGTCAGCAAAATTGCCAAAACTCTTCCTGCATTATGCCAAAAATTAAATGTCGATTTTAACATATTAATGGTATTAACATATTGGTTTAATTAAAACTCATAATGCTTTGTATGCCATTGTAATTGGCCAGAAAAATGTTTAACGTTCAAGTCCAACCTAGGAGGTGTTTACTGCGCATCTCTATGAGCGGCCCGAAGTTCATATATTCCTATTTTTGAAGATGCATTGGGCATTTTGCAAAATATTTTATATGGTATACATAATAAAAAACTAGAGCTCTTTATAGTACCTAAACCTATGCTCCTTTCAAACCCATTTTAAATAGTTTCCTTGGAAGATCTGGCATAAAATAATTACAGTGCATCCGCAAATTGTAACAAGATAAGAAGCTAATTTTCTTTGAGGTGGAACTCTTCGAGTCTAACTTCAAGGATTTTGGCCTCATTCTAATTCAATTTGGGCTCATCAATAAAGTATGCACCGGCGATCAAGTTAAGGATGAACCTAAGCTCTATGGCGAAAATGTGAAAGGACATTATGTCGATAACGAGTTGAAGGATATACTCGCTTTTGATGTAGAACTTAATTGTTTTTTAGCCCCACTTAGCGTCAATACAAAATTCCTTCGTCAAGAAACACTTGTGTCCTCTGTCTTGATCGAATTAGCTTGCATAACAGTATAGTGATAATTCTATATAAAACAACCTTCAATATAATTTACTCCATCGCTGATGGACAATTTTATATCCATATTCAAATCTAAGAAAGCATGAATATTACACCATAAATGTGGTTTTGTTCTATGCTGTACCGATGAATCTTATTAAAAATTTCCTAGAAGCCACACTATGCATTTTACAAATAAATACACATTTCTGGGCATAAAGTATTGTTGAGGACAATGTATTTAAACAATAGAATTAGAGTTTGTCCAAATAATTATTTTACAATAATCTACCTCATCCATATCCGAGTTCTGTCGCTTCAAATTTCCTGCGGCAGAGATAACACTCTTTACGGCTCGCATACCAAAATCATAGTGATCCTGTGAACTCAACTGTTCTGATGATAGTTTGAACGTGGTGACAATCTTCTTAGCCAGTATTCTTGCCTCTGAAAAGCCGAACGAAAATAGTGATATCTCCGCGATCAAGGCATAGTCGGGCACCATCATGGCAACCGGACGAAAGAGGGCTTTCAAGTTGTCCGGCAATTCTGTCCTACCGGCGTAACCTGGATTCATGGTAATGAAGACTGCACAAGAAGGCTTTAATGTAAGTTCAATGCCCTCAAATATGAAACGGTCGACACGCTGTTGCTGGGCTTTCTGGATCGTGGTAATCTGCTGAGCTACCACAGAAAGCACTTCGATATCGATACGATTGAACTCGTCAAAACAAGCCCAGGCACCGGCCGAGGCTAGTCCTTTGAAAAATTTCCCCATAGCCATGAAATCCAGTTGGTCGGAGCAGTTGAAAACAACACATTGTACTGCAAATGCCTTTCCAAGATCCTTGGTCGTCTCCGTCTTTCCTGTGCCAGCTGGACCTGCTGGAGCACCACCGAACTTCAGATGAAGTGCTCCTGAATAATTATACACAAAAATAATCGAATCCAGTTAAATTATTTAACTTAAGGGTTAAACTGTTTATAAATAATTTTGCCTCGTTATAAAATGTTACAGTGATAATGATACTTTTGCAGTGTTTATTAAAATTTAAAAAGTACATATTTCCCTTAATTCTACCGGGAACTCCCAATAAACTTGCTATTCTAATTTATTCCTATTATAAAAGTGTTTAATCGATAGTCATAATACTTAAGAAACATAGGATTTTGTTAAAATTAAGGAGTATGAGTTTATCAAAAACCTGTCCTTATTATATTTTGCCTTAGTGTAATTGAGTAGCTCTGAATGAAACCAATGTTTGTATGTTAATGCATTAATTGAGTATTAAAATGCTAAAAAACAATAGGTCTAGGGAATATCAATGCTCCTTAAATATATATCGGATAAAATATATGAGTGAAATTCAGTTGCATCGTAAGAGTTACACGTATAATTGTAATGAAAATCAATTATCAGTCCTTAAACCATACAAGCTTTTATTTAAATATAAACAGTTGAATATTTATTGGTTGAAGATGATAAAATTTGTAGTTGGTATTTATGTTATTATAGTCTACTACTTAAAGTAACTGAATTAAAATAATATAAATAAGCATATTATCAAGGACCTGTAAGAGTGAGGTAACAGCGATCAGTCAACGGCGTAATGACGAGTCGGTTGGTATTGCCAAGATACTCATACCCGTAAGGGAATTCGGCATTAACAGCTCGAAGACGCAGCTCCTCTTCCTCCGAGAACCAATAGTAACGTAATTGACTAATCCACTCAAAATCGCTGACCAGATGGACTCCCTCATCAAGCATATTCTGTACCACATCACGCGCGTGTACTTCAATCACAATGAGTGCGGAAAGAGTCATTCGGCCAGTTCTGCACAAGTCACCTCGAACAAGTTCACGAAGATCATCAAGCTGAGAAAGCAGTTGTGGCAGTAAAGTCCTTAAACCGCCTTTTTCCTTCTGACTCAAAGCTTCTGAAACCTCAGACGTCCAATGTGTCTGGCAGCCTACAATAACGACTTGACCCGGCCATTTGAGCACCCAATCAGTACGTACTGCCTGTGCATAATCAACAAGTGCATTTCCGATCAAAGTGCGTACAGAAAGCCGCATGAGATTCTCAATGTCCAGCATCCACTCCTCTACGTTACCAGTGGGGTAGGTCGTTTTGACAAAGTCAATCTTCTCACCTTCAGCTGAATGCATAGCGGTGATACACAAGTCTTTCTCGAAGTTTAGCTGATATATACATGGAAAAAATCGGAGACAATAGGCACAATTTAATTAATATGTTGTAAGGAAATATATTTCACCT